TTTTTTTTTTTTTTTTTTTTTTTGCTCCCTTTACGTTGGAAAAAGGAGAAGTTGCTTGACTTTATGCATTTGGTGTTGACAGCAGTCAACATGGGCTAACATCTGCCAGTCGCCAGATGACTATTTTTTATGGAGGCCAAGCTCATGTTTTTGATGATGTTCACCCTCATAAGGTTTGACATCTATTGTTAGTATGACATATTTGTTTACTGCGTTTAGTGAAATAACAATAATAACCTTATCCCACCAGGTAAGGTTAGCTATATGGGTTACATGATGTGATTGGGTTCGGTTAAAAACCAAATTTCAAGGGATATTGTTTGTGGAATCACCAAGAGATCTCTTTTAATAATTTCCTCTGATGTCCTATATGGTCTCCCCCTACCCCTTTTCACTAGAATAAAAACCACAAATCTATTTTTCTAATTAGTGCATCCAATAGCCTTCTTTGCATGTGTTCAAATTACCTTAAACAATTTTCTATTAATTTTTTCCTTGATAGGTGTCACAGCAATAGATCTTTGTATCCAATCATTTTGTATTTTATCTTTTCTTGTGTGGTTGCACATCCATGTTTACATATTCATTTGTTACTCTAATTTTTTTTTTGTCATTCCTTTTAAAGCCCAACTTCCCTTTGATCTTGATAGTTACCCTGTGGCCTCTTGGGGGGCTTCCTTAGTTGCAGCCTCAAGGATAGTGGTTTAGTCCCACATTGATTAGAGATATGGCTTAAATGGAGTTCATAGAACTTGACAATCTTTACTTTACAAGCTGATTTTGAGGGGTTGAGTTAGGCTCTTAAATCAAAATTCTAACTTTTTTTTCTATTTTAACCTCCGAGGTTATATATTGTGTCATGTGTGTGATGTTTTCATTAATTTCTATATCATTTTTTAATATTGATCTCAGATATATTGGTTTTAGAACCTATGGCATGACTTTTCCATTTTTTTTTTTTTAATTTTTTTTTACCTCTAAATGTTCTTCTTGTTGCTTGCTAAAATTGTATTGCATATACTCTGTCTTACTCATCAAGTGAAAGCCTTTTGATTCTAATGTCTGTTTCCAATGTTCAAGATTAGAGTTAGCCTCTTCTCCTGATTCCTTGATCAAAACCATTGTACAGTGAAATAAGGCCTGCAATTAGTTTGCAGTTGTGAATCATCACATGAAACAATTTGTTACATAAAATAGTTTGTGATTGTTAGAGGTAATACTAATACCTTAAGCTTTTGGGAATGTTTGTTCATGACATGATATTAGGGCCTCTATGACTTATTGGGAGTTTGATCCTTGCTGCCCTCACTCTTCTAATAAAAGGTTGAATTCCAGCACAAGGTTGGTAGGTTTGTGCATTCCATGCTTCAGCTCACAAGGTTCTTGTGTGGGATAAGTTTCAGAGGTGTAATATATATCCATTCAACTGTCTTCACCTAATAGTTTAAGCTTTTGGGACTGTTAGTTTATGACAATGCTTTACTCATTGGGGGTGATTTAAAGTCACTCTTGGTAAGAGTATGGGATCATATTTTCTTAAAGCCATATGTGGTCGGAAAGTTTTAAGTGCTCATTGGAACTTGTACTATCATTCTGATTTAGTTGAGAAACATGTATTGATGATATTAGGAGTTGATTTTCATGCCACACTTATGTTGTAGTTTCTACAACTTATTTTACTAAGTCATTGCACAATCTGCCGTTATTTTTGGACCTATATTTGTGGATAGATAGGACTTCTTAGCAACCAATAACTATGCTGAACCAATAATATGAGCCTTAACAAAATCCATGTTAGTTCAACATGTTATGGTGTCGTGATGAATTTGGAAAAGTCTTAGTTCTTGCTAGTTGCTATGCTTTTGCTTAAGAAAATTCCACTGACAATCATTCCATCAAGTCTCTTCTTCCATGGTTACCAGCTCTTTATGCTAATGATTATCTATTGCTAAGCCGTCTATCTAGGAATTCTCATCTCTTTGATATGTCTAGCATCCCTGAGTTGCCTTTCCACCCATGTTTTATGGAACCCCTATTATATTTTCCATTAAAGGGTTGATTTGTAACAAGATCAAAGCTTTGTGAGCTATAGCACAAGGGAGTGTTTTAGAATATATGAAAAATATTTCCTAATATCAATATTATATCTTATTTAAGATTATCTGCTGCAATATCTTAGGATCGATTTCCATATTCTTACATTTTATTTTTAGTTTCCTTATTTAGTTAGGATTTGAAATCTAGTCCAAGTGTAAATAGGTATTGATGTTTGTCTTTTGTAACATATGTAATGAGTAAACGACCACGTTATCCTTGAAAGTGATGCGTTGTCACATCTGTCCCTGAATTAAAAGAATGTTAAATAAGTTTGTAACCTTAACTAATTGATGTCATTTTGGTCCTTAAATGTATATTAATTAGGGCTGTTCAAAGAGTTGAACTAAACTAAACTAAACTAAAATTGTAGTTTGATTAAACTGAATTGAACTAAAAAATAGTTCCAAAAAATTGAACTAAACTATTTTATATTAATAATGAGAATTCAGTTTTATTAACAATTTGGTCTAACAAACTACTCTTTAGAAAATAATTTTAGATTTATAAAATTGAGCATAAAAATCATTTTAGTTCAATTTTTATAAAAATAATTTAGTTTTTTCTAGTTTAATCCAATTTAATTATTTATTAGTTTAGTTCTAATTAATTATTTAGAACATTTCCTAATTATAACTTTTTTTTTAATTTTTTTTTTTATAATTAAAGTGCACTAAACTACTTTTTATAATAGTTTAGTTTTTAAAAACTAAACTTAAAATATAGTTTAGTTTAGTTTTCACAATAGTTTAGTTTAATATAGTTTTTTGGACACCCCTAATATTAATTAATATTATTACTTTAGTTACAATGTGATTGTCAATTTGCACTTCAAGAAACTTTTTATTTTATTTATTTATTTATTTATTTATTTATTATTATTATTATTATTATTTTTAATTTCCTTCAATTCAATCCAAAAGACTTATGCATGAGACAGAATGTTAAAGATTTAAGATAGTATGAAACCATTCATGTGCCTTCACATAATAGCTTAAGCTTTTGAGGTACTTGGTTCTTAACAATATGCTCTGTCCTTAAATGATATGTTAGCAGCAATGTGATGCAACTCTGGGATCTCATTGATTGCCTTGAGTTCCAAAATTTGTTTGCATTTACTACTGTTTGCATCAATTTTCTCTTCTGGGATCCCCATATAATATGGATTAATTCAACCGAGCAAACTTGTGTGTTTTATGCTTAGCTTCTATAAATCTATATTCATTTACAGATATATTGTTATTACGCTGATGTGATTGGTAAGTTTTTGTTTAAAACTAGTTAAGCAGATACTTTAATTCATAAGGCTAGATAGATGCATGCACTTTTTATACCCATTTTCACTTCAGAGGATCCGAGTCTGTGAGTATGTGTGTAATCATTGCCTTGTCTTTGAATGGGATTAAGTGGTGGTTTTTACTCATGTTTATGATAGGTATCATAAAACTACAACCAAATAATGTAGGTATGATACAGCTCACCGAGTTTGGAATCAAATAAAACTAGTTTATGATAACTAAATGCTCTGTGAACATTGTGGGGCACAATGCTTCCTATTTCTGAGTGGAAAAAGGGGGGCGGGGGGAACTGTAGTTGCCATCAGTTTATCTGTCAATTAGGCATTTCTATAACATGAAAGAGATATCTGCTGGCAGTCCTTTGAATTGCTGCGTCTTACTTGATACACCTTATTAATTCTGAATTGTTGGTTATTGTTTCTCAATGTGATTGTTTTGCTCTAGTACATTTTGGAGAATCAGAAACTTTCTTGTTTGTTTTAACATTAAAATCAAATTAGTGTTACAGATGGGTTGAATTGGGTCTATCTGATTTGATGAATTTAGATTGGGTTGGATTGGTGTTCATAATTTTTTGAAAAATAACTTGATGTAAGGGTTACATATACTTAAATTTTGTATTTATTAAAAATATTTTATAAAAAAAAATAAAAAATAAAATTAAAGAGAGTAAAAATTTCAGATTATATACATATTTACAAATATCTTTTCAATCGTATCAGTAAAAGGGCCAAGTCTGTTTTCATGGTTTCTCCTAATGCTTTCCTAGGTCTTCCTCCGTCCAGTTAGCATATTAGCTAAGTTTGAATATAAAGTATGTGCAAGCTTTGATATTCATGCAAGTTTTCAAGAGCATGTTGGTTGACTTGTGGCCTTCTAAGCCTCACAAGTTATAGACTGTCTTTTATTTTTGACTCTATTGGGTCATTCCACTGATCTGAAATTTATATGCATGCAAAATAAGCAGGGTGGTTTTATATTTCGTGTTTTATCATGACTTCTGCATGCTCTCTGGTGCATTCAGGCAGATGTTATAATGGCTTTGGCTGGTTCAAATGGTGGATCTTGGTCCACTGCATTCTCACCTAAATCTGCTGCAAAGATGGTTAGTGACGGTAACTTGCACACCGGAGAAAATGAAACAGGTGTAGTGAGTAATGTGGCGTTCCCACACGAGCTTCATGGAAAATTGTCTATTACTGGCAGTTCTAGCCATGCCGTCGGGCCCGGTGATCGAGTGTCTACTCCAGCAGGTAATCCTCAATCATAGTACCTGGTTTGGTTGTTCTACTTTCTATTTTGTCATATCATACCTCCCAACATAAAAATATAAGATCTTTTGCCCCACAACAATAAGAGATTACTGAACCTTCCTGAGTCATTCTTCTGTTGACCTTATAGGCATTGCTTTCTAAATTCAGTAGAATATCTACCTATCACATTCTCTTATAGACCTTGCTTAAACCAACTCAAAATGTTTTCATGATTTTGGTTGTGACAGATCTATAGGAATAAGCTTCTGTTCTTAAGGTCAAAGTTTCATATCTTTTAAGGAAATATATATGGTGGTCCAGAATCCATCAGTGATCCGACATTTATAGCCATTGGATATAATGATGTAAAATTTTAAAAACTTTAAATGATATTAAAATGATTCATTAATCAATAAAAATAAGTGGACCATGGGTGGTCCAAAACTCTAGTGGACCACCCTATAGCTATAACAACTCATCTTTGGAACTATTCAATTTGTGATTGATTGACATTGTTGAATAACTGGTCATAGGGGCACACCAAGGAAGCGTTTTTGCGATAGATACTAGAAATCCAGTCCAACCACCAGATCCGAGTTCTGAAGACAAAAGAGCACAGTGATAGAGTCTGAGGATTAAAGGTTGTGTTTGTGTTCCTATTTATTGAAAGGCTTAAGGGCTTTCTCTTATTCTGAGTTCCATTGGGGTATCATCCATTTGTCAAATTTTCTTCTTATCTTTCAACCCCCAAAAAGAATTTGGTTTCTACTCTCCCTTCTTATCTTTCATTGTTGGAAATATCTATATTGCAGTTTAGTCAAATTATTGGGGAAAGTAGCTCTTTTGTAGGAATAACTTATATGAAAGCTGAGCTTTGCGATTTCAGTCTTATGCGTCCATTTAGTAAAAGATACCAGAAGATGATAGAGATGATGAGAGGAGGGGAAATTTTTATTCTAATAAGAATTCTGATTTTTAACTTTATAACTACTGTAACCAAAATTATTTAACTTTATCACTAACTGCAGGGTGAGAAAATGAGCATCCTAACTGTTGTTTTTCTAATTTTTATTGAATGGGGTGTGACCTGAGGAGTGACAAATTTGTAAAGTGAAAAATAAGAGTAACAAATATGTAAAAGTGAAAAATAAAAGTACATTTACTTTTTAATTTAAACTATTAAGTTGCATGATAATTTATTTCAAATCAAAACTGAATGTATTGTTTATCTTTTTACTCTAGTAACTTTGAATAACTTGATAAGCCAATTTTAATTTATTTATGTACAATAATTGTGTTGAGGTTAGAACAATGGTTGATGATGTGTTATTTATTCATTATGTGAAGCACACAAGTCACCTCAATGGCTGGCTCAAATCTACCAACAATACCGGTTAATGATTAGATTTTGTAATGACCTTATCTAAAGAAAGAAAAAAAAAAAGATTGGATTTGTTATCTCCTGAAACTGATTAAATTCACCTTCAATGCCAATGACACGCATTTTCCTTTTCCTTTTTATGTTTTGGAATATGTGAATGTCTGTATGATTCTAATCTAGTTTCCAAACATGCTTAAAAGCGTATTTGTCTGTGCTTTATTTAATGTTTTTAATTTGTATGTTTTCTTATAATTTCAAAAGATTCTTAGAGATTGAAGGTTTTTTTTCTTCCACTATTAGGAGCAAGTCCAACCCTGAATCACATGGCTTTGCTTGCATAACGCGATCTATATGGTTGTCGTAGATGATATCTCGTGTTCAGAATCAGAAATCTAGTGGAGGAAAGAAAATGAATAGAAAAATGTTAATTTAAGCATAAAATTTATGCATATACAATTCTCTTTATAAATTTAAAAGTTTAAATTTGATGAATTGAATAATCTTTTAAACTAATATTCAATGATATGTTGACATGTTAAGAAATTTCTAAATAATAAATTCAATATATTGATGTAGTGATTAGACACCATGATTTCATGGAAATGATTTATTTAACAGACCCCTCTGGTTGATTCTTGTGTGTGAATTTTTTGACTAGTAATAATTTCAATACTGTAAACTAAATTAATTTTTTATTCAATAAGTTAAAAATACTTGTGGCAAAACTAAAAGTTCTTAAATAATATGTGTGATAATTAAATTTAGACTAAATTATACTTTTGGTATCTTTATTTTTATTAATTCATAATTTTGGTTTCTCTATTTTAAAATAAAGACATTTAGTTTATTTAATTTTAAAAATACAGAATTTTGATCTCTCATCACATTAATATCTAGTAATAGTTAAATTTTAACTTTTATTCATACTTAAGTAATATAATATTTGATATTTAAAAATAATTTTTTTTAAAAAAATATAAATAAGATTTTATTAATAAAATAAATATCAATCACTGGTAATAATAGATATATATAAAAATCTTTTATATGTTATTTTTAATTTTATTCTTATACATCGTAACATTAAATGTCACATCATTTAAGTGGTGATAGATCAATCAATAATGTTAAAATTTAACAATTACGAATATCAAATTGATGAGGACCAAAAATTCGTATTTTAAAAAAATAAGAAGACTAAATGTTTCTATTTTAAAATAGAGGGACCAAAACTACAAATTGACGAAAATAAAAAGATTAAAAGTTTAATTTAACCTTAAATTTATTAAATAATTAAATTAATTTTATATGCGTAAAAGATAATGTTAAATGATTTGTTTTTATTAAATTAAGTTTTTTAATTTAATAATTGTAAGGCTTATCTTACAACATGAAGAATCAACATGATACTCTCTGACATGATTTTCATTAATGTAAAAATAATACTCAGTCAACGAAAATTATGTTAATAAGTACATTTACTTACACCATGTCCATGAGTTATTTATTTTATTTTATCAAACATTTATACATGCTTAAAGATATATCTAATCAAGTATATTTTAACAATTTTGATTTTGTTTGCAATCAAAATTGTTCTATTTTATAAAAAAATGAAAAAAAAGTTATGTATTTTCATCTACATAGTAAAAGAGAAAATTATATCTTAAATAAAAAGAAAAGCATAATATTTAAATCTCTCAAAGTAATGAAATGTCAAATATAATTACTTAAATCGTAACATATAAAAAACTCGTTTCGAACAAGACGAAATCAATGGAATGATTAAGACAGTAGCCAAATTAAAATTATGTGTGGTATGCATGCAGATATCAGATTGCAGATTAGTGTCATGCATGTGCCATGCCAACTTCCTTGCTCATCCTTTTTGGATTTTATTTGCTTCTGCCTTATGCCTTATTTCTTCTTTCCAATGAATGCACATTTCCCTCAGTTTTAACTCGTGTCATGGTTGTGTCCAAATTTAAACATTAGATTCTCTTCATATGTACTTTCCTAAGTTTTATCACAAGTCTGGTGTTAAGTTAGACTCTCTTACTATTGATATAGTATTTTTCAATAAAAATTAAACTTACAAATATAAACATATATGATATTTTTGTTAATAATAACAATTTATTTTTAAGTCAACACATCTTAAAACTTTATGTTGTTGAGTTGAACATCTTGAGTATTTGTTAATCAAGAGAATAGAATTTAGTTATGCCCTAAATACCCAAAAGAGACAGAAGAAAAAAAATGGAAGTATCTCTTTATTTGTCGATCGACATTAAAATTTAAAAGGTCAACTTTTATTGGTGATTCATGATGATAAACAGTTAAACACATATAGAACATGAATTGTTTGGCTCTTTCTTTCTCTTCATCATGTAACACATGTACATGACTCATATTTATTTCCCATCATTCAAGAAATTTGGTCTTCTTGTCAACCTGCTACACATAAAATAAGACACAAAACTTGTCTCTATTATACACACTGTGACATGATCCAAGCATTCCCATCTCAACTTTTGAACTTTAGCGTTATGTGAATCACATCATCCCTTTTTATTTGTTTAAGGCATCAATCGCATATCACACACTTCTCCATATGCTGCACCCTTCAATAATATAGCATATAGTAACGACATGGACCACTTACATATATAATATATTATGCAACAACATTTGTCCTCATCAATAACATCTCTGTCATTTCCTGCCACATGTATACGACCTTAATGAGACAAATCTATATAAATTTTTTATTTATTCCTCTTCAATTAAACAATCAAATTTTCACTATATTTTTTATTTTTTATTTTTACTTATTTATTTATCTTTTATCTATTTATCTTCGCTCTATTTTTTTCCCTCTTTACTATACACACAGTAGATGTTAACATTTCTTTTATCAGGTGATTCTGTGACCTCATCTTTTACACGTTGCTCTGGCACCATGTCTTTGGCATATTAGTATTTGCCTTTTGAAGCTGATTCCGTGAATTAAATAATTGAGTTAAATAATTTTTAAAGATTACAAATTTTTAAAATAATTTCTTAAATGTCTATTGGCTCAGTTTATTTAAAATTTAAATTATTTTTCAACAATAAAATTTAGGCAAAATGAATTTTGGCACGTACTTCAAATTTTTAATCACCCGTTTTATTCTTCAATACTAATTATAAATGAAATTTTAATTATTTTTAATGCTTGGCTTGTTTTGTGTGTTGGTCAACTGCTGAAAAAGTGAAAAGATATAATGATTAATTTCTGATCTGGACTGGACCCGAATTCTGATCTTAAGCCCAAAGACCGAAACTGAGCCCGCTAAAATCCATAGTTCAACACGCGGCTATATTTGAATTTGACCAATAACGACACCCAATTCCGGAAATCTGGGAATACCTGTCAGAATTAAATGCCTTCAACCTTTCATTTCACATTAATTCTATTACTTTTTAGTATGTTTATGCATTTTTTCTAATATACATCCACAAAAAATACCTTCAAATCTTAAATAACATTTCTCTAAAGTTATGTTCACAAACCATGATTCATTACACATAATTTGGAAAACCTAATTGTAACCATACCAAGTTGATCTCCAATGCAAGCAATTGCAACACTATTATATTCTTGTAATGATGTTGGTTCAAGAGATGCTCTAATAATAAAAGAAAAAATATTGAAACTCGACTCGATTTAATGCATATTTAAAAAATTGAATGGAACTACGTACTTCTATCATCGGATATATATGACCCATTTTTATTCAGTTTGGTAGAGTAATCTTTTAATATTTGCTAACCTTATTGTATTTTAACATTTGTAGATATGATAAAGGTTGAATCCAAAAATTACAAAAAGATTCCTCAAGCCTACAAAAACAATTAAGTTACGAGATTTAAATTGTAAGTGTATCTGTGTATGCATCCATTCCTTGTAATTAGAGATGACAACGGGGTGGGTCGGGTACGGGTTTTATGATATTCGTTTCCGTTCCTGCAACATAAGCTCATCCCCGTACCCGTATCTGTATTCGTCGGGTATGTGATTTTCATCCTCATTTCCGTTCCTGTCGGGTATCAGGTATACTCGTACCCATACCCGTACGTGTAAAAAATTATTATTATTATTTTTGCAAAAAAAATACATAATATTTTTAAATTATTTTTTATTATATTATAATTATAATTAGATTATTTCTTTATTTCATATTTTAATCAAGAGATTTCTTAATAGCTACGTAATTATAAATGTTTCACATTATAATAAATAATTACATAATTAAATCGGGTACATGTACGGGTACGAGACGGGTATGTATATACCTATACCCGTACCCTTACCCAGTTTAATTTATTGAGTTTTACCTATACCCGTACCCGTACCCGTACCCATATCCAGTCAAACCGGATATTTTTTGTCAAAGTCGAGACGCGTTCGAGTATTACCCACAAGTACGAGTTTATTTGTCATCCCTACTTGTAATACCTGTCACTCTGTTTCATTTCTTTACATTCTATCTTCTCTTTCGTTGAACTAAAACAACATTTAAAACAAATAAAATTATTATGAACATGCCAAGATTACAATATATTTGTCATAAAATGAATAAAGCTTACACAAAAAATAAATAAATAAAATTGAGAAGGGAGTATAAGAGTCCATACATTTGTCCTTAATTCCATTTGTATACTTGGAAGATAAAAAAATAAGATACAGAATTAAAGAAGAGAGAAGTGGGTGAAAATTTTGGTAATTTCTTCATTTGTATATTGAAAAAATAGGAGAGAAATAAGGATTGATGGGTCCCATTTATTTTTTTTTTAACCCAATATAGGCATGAAATGTGAGGGAGGGACGACTGTTGGTTTCTTTTTTCATTTTTATAATTTTGATTAATAACGCATTTTTTATACCAAAAAATAAATGTATACTTTAAATAATTTTTTTTATTAATATAAAACGTTTTTAATACAGTCATTTATTTTTTACTGTTTCAAAAAAGAGAAAAAAAAACTATTTATTTCATTTTTATTTTCATCTATTTAAATAACATAATCTTTTTTTTTTTTCCTTTTCTCTCCTTCAAGTTTCAACAAATGAGTCTTACTTAATTGGTTGAGAATGCATACATTGTTATAAACATATGATATCGATAGATAAAAATAAGAGAAAATTTTTTATTTTTTTTTAAATTATTGAAATTTGATTTTAGTTTCTTTAATTTTTTTCTTCTATTTTAGTCTCTAATTTTAAAATATATCACTTTTAATTAGTCCTTGAAATAGTTTAGATAACACTTAAAAATGATTATAAAACGTTATCTAAATTATTTTGAGAGTAAAAAAAGGCATTTTTAAATTAGGGTATCAAAATTAAACAAGTATTTTTGAGATACCAAAACTGAATTTAAAAAACTTTTGAGAGACAAAAATATATGTTATCTTAAAAATAAAAAAGAGGGTAATTGATGAGTCCATTATTTGTCTACATTACCTTCTCATAGCACAAGAAAAGCAACCTGGATCTTGGCACTCCCAACATTTTCCTTTTTATATTGTTCCAAGACTTTGATATGCCACAACCTCTTCACTATAGTTTAATTTGTTCCTTCCTTTGTCTTTTTTCAACCATATATTCCTCCCATTCCAAAACTCGACACAACTAAGTCCAATTGCCACCCCTCTTCCAACTCTATCATCTTAACCCAATCTCAATTGCACATATATATAAATACACACACACACTTAAGTTCTCATCAATCAACACACATAATCTCTACCTAGCAAAAGGTTGGAATTAAAATGGAGAGTGCTCTTGGTGAAGCCTACAAAGAACACCCTATCCACCTTGGTCACATTGTCCCCCTAGACTTTTCTTCACTCCCCACCTTACCCGATTCTCACGCATGGTCTCCATCCAACGATGACTATAGTTTCCCATGCAATGATGCATCATCATCCATACCCATCATAGACCTCATGGATCCTAATGCCATGCACCTCATAGGCCATGCATGCGAGACGTGGGGTGCGTTCCAAGTGAAGAACCATGGCATACCCTTTGGTGTCATCGAACGTGTAGAACAAGAGGCCAAACGTCTCTTCTCTCTTCCCACCCAACAGAAGCTCAAGGCTCTTAGATCTCCCGGTGGCGCCACCGGCTACGGCAGAGCTAGGATTTCACAGTTCTTCCACAAGTTCATGTGGCACGAAGGATTCACCATCATTGGTTCTCCATCTCATGATGTTAAAAAGATATGGCCTAATGATTATGCACACTTTTGGTAAGTACGATGCAATAATACATATTCTCATGCGCGCACTTCCATGCAACGTCCACACTCATATGCATGTGTTAATTAATTTACAAAGATAAGATTAATTTTCAGTTTGGTTCCAGCTAGTTTTGGAAGACAAATTTGAGTTTTTCACTAAAGTATATGTTGATTGCCTAAAATAATAAATGAAATGAAAAATATATATGTAGAGAGAGAGAGAGATTGAGTTACTAATTTTGTCCTTGTATATAAGTTGCATGTGATATTAATTAAACTAATCCAACTACCACATGGTATATAATAAATTTACTTGAGAAAACTAAGGTTAGAGGTCCTTTAAAATGAAGTAGTAGTTAACAAAAGTCTTGAAAACTTCAACCTGCAAGTAAAATTATCGGTGGAATATTGTATAAGCTAATAAAGACAAATTACTGATCAACCTAGCCAACAAATACCATGTCTTTTGTTGTCGTTGTTCTCCACTGAAAATAGACATTTCAAATGTGGTGCATGTTATTCAAGAGTATATATATGATATCATTGTTGTACTAATTAATAATCTTATTGTAATGATCTCAAGAATATTATTAACAGATGAGGTGATTAACTAACTATATATGCAGTGATTTGATGGAGAAGTACGAGAAGGAAATGAAGGTTCTAGCGGAGAGACTAACAAAGATGATGTTAGAGTTGTTGGGAATTAGGGAAGAAAAAAGGAAGTGGGTTGGTTCAAAGAACACAAATGGAGCAGTTCAGTTGAATTTCTACCCAAGTTGTCCAGAGCCAAAGAGAGCAATGGGTCTAGCACCACACACCGACACATCGCTATTCACAATCCTACACCAAACCCAAACCACAGGGCTTGAAATCTTCAAGGAAGGAAAAGGGTGGGTTCCAGTGCACCCCCACCCTAACGCACTGGTCGTCAACACAGGCGATTTCTTCCACATCATGTCCAATGCGAGGTTCCGTTGCGCGCTTCACCGTGTTACTGTGAATAGGACTCGGAAACGTTACTCTGTCGCTTATTTCTATTATCCTCCGATGGATTACGAGGTTTCTCCTTTCGATCTCAACTCTGCTGCTCGTTTTCGTCCTGTCACTGTCAAGGAGTATAATGGGATTAAGGCCAAGAATTTTGGACAAGCACTCTCTTTGATTAGTACTTCAAATTAACTAATATATGTACTATGTATTAATTCCTTACTTTATGTAGCTAGATGCCTAGATGGCTTTTTAATTAATGTCAGCACCTTCACTAATAATATGTTCGAAATAAAATATAGGTTTAACGATTTTTTATCTTACAATTTTATAAATTTTACTTCTTAATTTTTTTTAATTAGAATTTCTTATTTTAGGTTTTTTTATTTATATATTTTTTAATTTTTATAGTTGCATAAACTTTTTTTTTTAATCTTTATAATTAAATAAACTTTCTATTTAATTAGTCTTACAATTGCATTAATTTTCTCGTTTAATCTCTTGTGAAAATAAACGACAAACATTAAAAAAAACAAAATTAATATATATATATATATATATATAAATTAAAATAAATTTTTTCAAGTATAAAACCTAGAAGTTAAATTTATAAAATTATAAGCTCAAGATAATTAAACATATAATGTATAAGTAGAAAATAATTTTCATCTTATAATTTAAATTTTTAAGATTGAATTAGATTCTCACTTCTATTTCAAAATTCGATCATAATTTATTTTAATAATTATTATTTTACTTATTAGTGTTACTCGGATTATTTGAAAATGTCTAATTTTACAAATTCACATATATCTCACAAATTTTGTTTGAAATGGTACTCGGCGTTAACTATTAGGAAGTGTAGGCGAAGTTTAGTTTTAGCACATGCAAATTAATGAGCTGCTATAATAAATCCCCAGCCATCAATTTGGGGTAACCACACTATGGGTGGAAAATGGAAATAGACCATGTGCCAAACCAAACAAGTCATTGTCAAAGAGGCAAGTCTTCTTTGAAATATTTAAAGTCTAAGTTTCCCTATCAAATATATATAAGTCAAATTAAAGTGAGAGACCACTCGTGTATATATATATATAT